AACTCTTGGGACTCATAGGTTGTTCATTTACATTCTTAATGAGAGAAATGACAGAGTTGTATTAGATTGTTTAAAACATTATTTTTAACTTTAAAATGCACCACTCTTAGGACTACTTTTGTTCAGAGTTGAGAAGGTTTTTGTATCAGAATCCCAATTCCCAGTCCTTTGCTCTAGTCCTCGTATCTCACTGCCTGTCCGTATTACATGCACCTACAGTTCAAGAGGAAAACCCTAAGGATGCTTTCAACAGTTCTGCCTTTATAGAATACAGCAGGTGAAAGAGAAACCATTCTTTCCAATAGCCATCATCTTGGGAAGAGGTGACTCCTGGGCAGGAATGTGAACTGTCTCTGGATCAGGCAAGGCAGAATTTCTCTCCTCCTGAGTACAGAAGCTGAGAAGACTTGGGCTTGGAGGTGTGAAAGCCCTAGAGCGTTTTGTGGGAGAGGTGAACTGTGGATTCCATGGGAAGAAACCATGCCTTCTGTGTTGTTAGTGTTGGTGGCAGTGCCAGTAATAGCAGCACAGAGAAACAGCCAGGCTCTGGGGCAGCACAATCAGGGCAGCAGTATAAAGCTGGAAATCATCAAAAGGACACACCCAGGCTTGAAATGGAAGGTCAGAACACACCACCCCAAAATATGCCACCTGGGCGTGTTGAATGTTTTGAGCTGAAGGTGACTGAAAAACAGCAGGTCCAGGAAAGGCTCTCTGCCTTCCTCATCTCTACCTAAAAGCTGAGCATACATTTCCCAGAAAAAAGGTGCCCTCCCTCATTAGGAAGGAAAACATCCTAATCTCTGCAGAGATGAAGTCAAAACACAGCTCACTGAAACAACCTTTATTTTCCATTAGTTTCTCCTGTAGATTTCCTAGTCATTTTCCCACAACTGACTGCTCGTAGTCCAAACCCCTCTTTTGTATGTCTTGTCACATCTTCACAATTTATTGCTCTTTGTTAGTATGGTATATAAACCCCTGGGTCTCACTCCTTCTTTGAGGTGGTCTCTTCTTTCCGTAATGCTCTCTGTACCATGTAAAAATACTAATATTCAATACATCTTCATGCTCTTCCTCTTGTTCATCTGTCTTTTTCAGTTCAATGCACAGGCTTCAACCACAGAACCCAGGAAGGTAGAAGAAAATTCCTTCCTCTCTTACAAAATCAGGCAGAACATGAGGTGAGCCGTGTTCCCTCTCATGGTGTGGAGAGGCTTCTCTTGCTGCATGCAGCCTGGACACCTCACAGCTGCTGTCCACTGCAAAGGCAGCAGTAGGGCCTCATGGAAGAAGTCAGGTTTCAGAGAATCTGAGGGCCCTGTCCTGATGAGTCTGTGCAGCAGCATCCAGGGGGTCTATGGAGAAATGGGGGCCATAACTTTGAAGATGGTTTTTTACTTCTGGCTCTGAAACTTGTCATAAAAAAGTGGTTAAAAATAATAAGTAGATAAATATTGGAAAATATAATGGTAAAGAGGAAAATTAAACCTTAAAATACTCAAATAGAAATCTAGATACAAGCACATTTAACTAACCATCTGGAACTGGGGGTGGGGGAAGGAAGGGAAGCAGACTTGAACCAAAAGCAGAACTAAAACTAAGTGTACTGAGGTGAAGAAGTAAGATAGGTCAGTTTGACACCAACTAGTGCCCATAAGATATTGTGGAAATCACATATTTCTAGTTCCTCACGCAATACGGGTCACAAAGACAAATTTTGCTTTGCACATTTATGAAAGAAAATAACTAGCCTTTGGCCATCACAGGGAAGGGCTTAAAGAGTCAAAAAATGTATCCCAGGACCCAAGTGACTCCCAGACTAAAGCCACATAGAGACACAGGGAAGGGGATGCTTAGGGCTCACTGGACACAGAACTGGGCAGTTCTCTGCAGTCATCCAGAGAGAGAGACAGCTGACCACAAGGGATGAACTGCATGGAATTCAAGACAGAACCACCACAACAAAAAGATAGGTTTGGAATTGGTATGTAAATCTATATTAATCACCAGTGTCAAGATAGTTGAACTCCATGAAACTTCCAGGGTCCACAGATCTGTTGTCTCCCCCCGAAGTGATGGTTGAGCAGTAGAAATAAATGCATTTCTAATGTCTTTTCCCATCATTTCTTCTCCTTCTCCAGAGAGCTGAAAGAACTGGTGCTTGGGTAGTGACAGCTCCATTCCTTATGGCTCTGTGAGTGAACCGGGATTTCAGCAATCATGGCACCATTGCTCCAGCCAAAACTCACCCTCTAGTTTTCATTTACCAAGAAAGGATAAGAAGACCACCTGGTGGAAGAAAGAGAGAACAGACTGTCAACCAAAAGCAATGGTAACTCCACTTACTTGGCTCAAGCCAAAAACTCCGTGATGTAAAAAACCTGGAAATCATAGATACAAATATAATGGAATTCTACATGAAGAAGTGCCTCATAGATTGCCCAACTCTATTGTTTTACAGATGAGAAAATGGAGGCACAGAGACTGTCCCAGTGACACCCTACCAGTAAATGGCAAAGCTAGGATTAAAATTCAAATCAGTGTGTTTCTTGGGAGATTTAGAAAATATTCAGATAAATAGACTGCCAGGAATTTTAATGCATGAATTTGTGACACGGTTATAGGAACCAGAGATTTTTAACCTACAAAGGGAAAATTTGGGGACATAATAGCTATTTTCAAATACTCAATGAACTGACAGGTAGAAAAGGGCTCGTACTTCCTCTGTTCGTCAGGAGAAACAAGGGACAGTATGTTAGAGGGAAGATTTTAGCAGTTCAATATAAGAGAAAACCTATTAAGCAGTTGAAATTGGCCAAAACAATTTGTCACCTGAGGCATTTTCGGATAACCTGAAAATGCTGTAGTGAATATGTTTTTGTCTACAGATTGCAGTGGCGTAAGGGGTGTGGAGGAGAGAATTCAGGCATGAAAGTCATTTGGATGGGGTGACCTTTAAGAGTATGTGATTCTTTACAACCTGGGACCAAATAAGGGCTTCATGCTTGCCCCTGAACTCTAAAACCTATCATCCCATCTGTTTGCAATAGTTTAAATTTTAATCTATTTCATATTTCAGGGTATTATGCCCTGAATATTTGATTTGAATGCTGTGGCAGAAGGTCACTCATATTCATCTATTTTCTTTTACTCTTATACACTTGCAGTGAGTCTTTTGAATCCATTATGCAAACATATGCAAATAATATGCAAATAGTGTGGCCTCAGAAAATGACAAAATCTTATGGCCTTAACTGAGCCATCAAACCTTTCTTTAGGAAGGAAAGCAATATGCCATTTCAATATCTCTGGGGCAGGAGACAATTTCCTGAAAGTGATATTTACATGACATTGGAGTTGGTGACTCAGAGGACTCTTTGCTTCACACTCTTCATGTTTATGTAGGGCTTTCAGGTGAAGAAAGCATTTCACATATACAATCCCTTTTGATCCTCGTAATTACCCTGTGATGGAGGTGGAATAGGAATTATGATTCTTAGTTTTCAGAGGGGAAGTAGACTTGCCCAGGGTCACTCCACTGGTAACGATGAATCCGAGGCTTCCAGTCCTCAACTCCAAGCGTTGCACCATGATGGACATCTGCTCTGGAGCAGGGTGGTCTGGCGCCGACCCATCTTCACGGGTGCCTTGGTGATGAGGGTGCCATTTGAAGGAAGACTGATAAAGCCAAACTACTGGTAGCAGTCCTAGTGCAATGCCAAGAACATGATTTCTCCAGCACCCTTTGCTTTTCAGCATCTTCTATGAAATCTCCAGATGAACACACACACACACACACACACACACACACACACACGTACTCTCCAGCTACATCCAGAGACAAAATTCCCTGCAGTGCAGTTGCCTGGATCAGAAGCCTGATCCATTTTCCTTGAGTACGGTGACCTTGGAGAAGTCATTTAATTCCCCCAAGCCCCTGTTTCTCCATGTATATAGAGAGGGAATGAGTAGTAACTCTTTTGTGGCCTATATGGAAATTTCCTCAAATGGGGAAATGAATGAAAAACAAAAATCAAATTCAGTTCGGTGTGTGACACAAAGTAAGAACTCAGTGAATGAAAGCTACTGTAATGTCTCAGTAGCGACATGACAGCCAGATGGGCGGGATCTCAATCATTGTATCCCAGATGCTAGAAACCACACCCCTGGAAATGGGATGGAAGATCAGTGACCACCCCACCCCCACTGCCTGCTATGACTCTGACGCCTGGACAGCAATGTCTGAGGCAGCTAATTCAGACCACTGAGAAACAGCTAAACTTGGACTTTCTTACATCACTGCCATACTGTATACCATAATAAGGGTAACAGCAAACCTCCCCCAAAGCTGTTGCAAAGAAGATAGAGCGCCAAGGCTGGCATCCTAAACTCTGCTTTCCCGTGGCCAGCCTGCTGCGTTTCCGGCAGTGTCTTCTACTTCCCGGGGCCACGTTGGGAGGGAACAAGAGCAGACTTCACCCCTGTTAGCTGCTCTAACAGGCCTTTGAGTCCAGGCCAACCCACAAAGTGATCCTCCTGCTGTGCAAAGTCCGGAGATGGGGCTGCGCAAGGTGACCAAGGCTGCAGCTGAGGTCAAGGAACAGGTACCTGCTTACCCTGATCCCTCCTGCTCCACTCCCCGCTCAGCAGGCACCCTGAAGGCTCAGCTTTTCCCTCCATGCCCACAGGGTGCTGCTCCCTCCCAGCATGCCCCAACAGCGCTCCTTAGCGCTCACCTACGACAACTAACAAAGAGGCCTCCCTTGTGAGGGCAGTTTCCTGCCTCCTCAGCCTCTCTCTGGGAGAGGGACAAGCATAGATGCTGTGGGAGTTGGCCAACTCTGTGAAACTGACAGTCTGTGTGACCAACCCTAAAAGGACTATGTGGCTGATTTGTGTACGCCAGGAAACGCATGGCCATTCTGTGGCCAGTCTCTGTTATTTTTGGCAAAAATGGGTGGTATACAAAAGGGACTTCCCCTTTCTTGACACACAGAGTCACCAACTGTCGAGCAGTCAGCAGTGTCTCTTGTTCCAAGGTCACCCTTCTGAGCACCTGTCTGAATGCCAGATTGGGTCATCATAGCTTAACTCAATTTCTGAGCTCCAGGCATTAGACGATCCCATCAAGCTGGGATTGCATTCCACCTGTGATGGCTCGGGCTGTCAGTTGCTTCCTTTTGGCCGTGCTACTTTCTGCCAGCTGCAAAGTCATCATCTCCTCGGATCCGATGTGCATTGAGGTGAGTCCAAATGGTTTGTCTTTATCCAGATTCAACAGTCTGGAAATTGTGCAACTGAGCTGCGGTCCCACTGGAATCTCAGCATTTCAACATCCACTGTCTTGAAAAGGGCACTTGCATATACCAGGGTGCCTCAAAAAGTTCATGGAAAATGGAATTCAAAGATGTTTAGATCAGTGCAAAAAAAAAAAAAATTGAGATCCGTGCATACAAAGATCTTCAAACTGGGCTTGGAAAAATAATTCTGAAATGATTATGAAATAACTGTGAATATATTTTAAAAAATGTTTGCATTGAAATAACCTGATCATTTAATTGTTTTTTCCCATGAACTTTTTGAAGGGCGCTCACAGGAAAGTGTCTCTATATTATGAAAAGGAGCTCGGCCACGATATTGTCAGGTGACATCTTGCTGGGAGGAAGTGAGAGATTTCTTCTCCTTTAAACAATGCCCCCCTCAGAGAATCCCAATTAGAGCCTAAGATATCAATAGGATCTGGGTGCAAACGGCAGACTCCAAGAGCTGGGCCCTGGCCTGCAGGAGTTGTCTGTCAGCCCAGCACAGGGCCACCACTCCAAATGGTCCTTTGGTTTCCTGACTCTCAAGGTGATGATTAGTAAAGGCAACTCTGCCAGAGTTTCCAACATTTAAAAGATCATTCTGAGGGCTCTTGCTTTCTCCTCCAGTTGGACAGCCCTCCATCTGTTTTACTAACCCACAGGAGGAATATCTGAAAATAGAGCCAAATTACACCTTCTGTTTTGGATCACAACAATATTTACAACCTGTAGGGAGTTCTTTGAGAGGGTGGTCGGAGAGAGAAAGGAGAGAACTCAGTCTCTTGTCATCTTCTAAAATGCTGAAAGCCTCCTCCACTGGCTCTGACCCTAGCAAAGGTCACAGCACTGTGTGGCCTGTTAGACGGGAGGGTCCATCGGTCTTAATGCCTCCGTAGGCTGCTTTGGCTGGGGCTGAATGAGTACGCGCTGTGATTCACAAGCCGTGGAAAGGGCTTGAAGAGTAGCTGGGAGGAGGTCAGGAGACTGACCTGGAAGGCAGGGCACAGGTCGGAGCCTGCACTGGAATAAGGACCAGAACAGCAACTAACAGAACCTTGTTAGTTTGATGTTGGGATGGAGTTAGGCTGCTCTCAAAGCAAGTGGAGGCACGACGATTAGAGGAAGTAAAGGCTGGGAAGTGTCTCTGTTTGCTTGGGCCGCCCTGAGAAAGTATTACAGACGGGGTGGGTGATTCATACAACAGAAACTGACTGCCTCACAGTTCTACAGGTCAAGGTATCGGTAGGGCTATTTTCTTGGGGGAGGGGTAGAGTATGTGTGTGTGTTTGAGAGAGATCAGTAAGACCTTGCATTTATTGTAGCACCTTTCTTATGGAAGCTCAAAGCTCTTCAGAGTGTATGTTTTCATAAAATTTTATTTTTTAATTTTTAAAAATTTTAAAGATTTTTTGATTTATTTGAAAGGCAGAGTGATGGGATTGAGAGAGTGGGAGAGACAGAGATAAACAGATTTTCAATCTGCTGGTTCACTCCCCAGATGGGTGCAACAATCAGGGCCAGGCCAGGCCAAAGCCAGGAGCCAGGAACCCAATCGGGGTCTCCAACATGGGTGGCAGGGACTCAAGTACTTGGCCATCATCTGCTGCCTTCCCAAGCACATTATCAGGAAGCTATCTAGGACACAGAGCAGCTGCGACTCAAACTAGTGCTCTGATATGGTATACCAGCATCACAAGTGGTGGCTTAATTTGCTATGCCACAAGGCTGGCCCTCTATCTTCTAAATAAATTTTTAAAAATTTATTTATTCTCATTTGTAAAGCAGAGACATACAGAGAGGTCGTCTATTCATGGGTTCACTCCCCCAAAAGGTCACAACAGTCAGGGCTGGGCTAGGCTGACGTCGAGACCCAGGAACTCCATCCAGATCCACCACATGGGCAGCAGGAGCCCAACTACCTGAACCACTTCTGCCTCCCAGGTGCACGGCAGCAGCAGAGGGTCAGCAGTCCTCACTCTCGGCCTGCAAGGTGAGGTCACCGTCAGCAACCCACTGTTGGGGAACAAGGCTCAAAGAACACAGTGTGGTGGCTAAGAGCTGAGATTTGAACCCAGAGATTTGATTCCTCTCTGACTCGAGAGCCAGACAGGAAATAAAGGGCATATCCTTGGTCTATCCTTTTCCTGGAGGAGTCAGATTGACCGCAGGCTTTTAGGGGTGTCCTACTTAGGGGTGTTCGTTTTGCGTTGGTTTTTTTTTTTTTTTTTTTTTTTTTGGACAGGCAGAGTGGACAGTGAGAGAGAGAGAGAGAGGAAGGTCTTCCTTTTGCCGTTGGTTCACCCTCCAATGGCTGCCACGGCCGACGCGCTGCGGCCGGCGCACCGCGCTTGATCCGACGGCAGGAGCCAGGTGCTTCTCCTGGTCTCCCATGGGGTGCAGAGCCCAAGCACCTGGGCCATCCTCCACTGCACTCCCTGGCCATAGCAGAGAGCTGGCCTGGAAGAGGGGCAACCGGGACAGAATCCGGCGCCCCAACCGGGACTAGAACCCGGTGTGCTGGTGCCACAAGGCGGAGGATTAGCCTAGTGAGCTGCAGCGCCGGCCGCTTTGTTTTGTTTTAAAGAGCGTTTGTTGCTCTGGGATTCAGTTTACTAGTCAAACTGCTGACTCTTGGATAGAAATGGGATCACTCAGAGGAAGCTGGGAGCCAGTGCCTCAGACTCCTGCTGTGCGGGGTAGCTGGCTGCTGTGCATATCCAGTGCAGGTGAGAGAGACGGGAAGTTGGCAGTGAGCACTTGAGAGTGAAATTCAAAGGGTTCCACACGAGAAATGTTTCAGCACTTGCAAGAAGGGGAAATACGGTGGGGTGGGAGGGAGCTAGAGGTACAGAAAAAAGAAGCAAAATAAGACCTTGATTGAAAAAATGCAAATGAAGACCTGAAGGGAAAAAGGGTTGCGAATACAGATGTCACACCTCAGGAGCCTGCAGCTCCGAGGCAGAGCCCGAGACAAAGCAGCCGGCACAGGCCCCGGGGCACAGGGGTTTCTAAGCAAAATTCCCTTGATTTAGAATCTGAGTGGGCACCGGGCAGTTGGTGAAAACCACATGAGCTTGCCGCAGCTCTGCAGCTGTGTGATGCATATCTCCAGGGTTCCTGGGAGAGGGCAGCCAAGAGAAGCAAAGGCGGGAGAAAGTGACTCTGGACATTGGCCGGCCACTCACTAAGCTCTAGAAAGGAACGATGAGACCTACACGAAGTGGTCACATGGAGCCCGGAGGAACCACAGCTGTGGGTGGGAACTGCCCAGAAAGGCAGCTGAAACACGCTGCGGTAGCCATGCTGTCTGTGCTTTTCCGAAGCCTGCCCTTTTCGTTCTCTGTTGCTTGTCATCCTGCTGTCCTGCCGCCTGTGTTATGCTGTCTGGGTGAATTCTCTGGAAGTTCGGATCTGAATCCTGACAGCAAGAAAGATGCAAGGAAGCTGTTGTATTTCAACAACAAAATGTATAAGCTTTATCAGATCATGGGGAAACACACAAACCTACAAAGAGGGCAAAACAGCAGTCTGCATTCTTCAAAAATGACCATTGTCAGGAAAGACAATCCAAGACTGAGGAATTGTCTCTGATTACAGGGGTCTACAAAGATCACAGCTACATGTCGTGTGTGATCCTATGTGGAACAAAGGAAAACTAGTACAGATAATATTGGGACAACTGGAGAAATTTGAATACTGCTTCTATATTAGATAGTAACTTTGATCTATGTTAATATTCTGAATTTGATCATGGCACTGTGGTTGTATAAGAGAATATCTTTGTGCTCAGGATATATAAACAGATATTTAGGTGTAAACGATTCTGAAGTCTACAATTTACTCTCAGTCAAAAAGAATAAGGATAGTGTGTGTGTGTGTGTGTGTGTGTTCTTCCTGCCTGGAAAATATGATCAATGCCTCTTAGAAGATTCCAGAGCATGTGGAGCTTTGGTGGCCCTATCATCATGACAATTTGATTTTACAGTTGTGATTAAAAAGCTGTTGGGAGGCAAACACGGTGGTTAAGCCCATATTAGAATACCAGGTTTGAGTCCCATTTCTGCTTCTGATCCAGCTTCTAGCTAACATGTACCCTGGGAGGCAGCGGACAATTGCTCAGAATTTGAGACTCCTACGTGCAAGACCCAGGTGGAGTTCTGGGCTCCTGGCTTCTACCTGGCTCAACCCTAGCCATTATGGACATTTGGGGAGTGAATCAGTGGATGGAAAATATCTCCCTCCCTCCTCCATCCTCTCTCTCTCTCTCTCTCTCTCTCTCTCTCTGTTGTTCTGCCTTTCAAATAAACAAATAAACTTTTTTAAAAGCTGCAAAAGGGCACCCATTTCCAACCAGAGATCATTTAATGCTATGGCCCAGGTTTGATGTGGGCCTCTGGGTACCGTTCCCATGGTGGTACCATCTGCTACTTCTTGGGTTTTCACTGAGTTGACAATGAGTTGTTTCATTTTCCCACCTTTCCATTTTGCTAAGAGCTCCTGCGGGCCCCTGCTCAGGAGAGGTCTTGGGTCACACTTGTGCAGTAACGTGCTTAGCAAAGCACACAAGAAGCTGAGCCACAGCATAATCAAGGCATCTGCCACCCCCACCAGCACTTACACATTCAGGAGACAGAGGAGAGAGCCCTCATTGAGCCTTTTGCTGGAGGGCTGGAATGGGACAAGAGGAATTAAGGAAGTCCCCGTTCTCCAAATCTATGTGGCATCAGTTATCCCAATGGAGAGCAGAAAATAAAAATATCTCCTCCAAGCTCATGGGCACCTTCACGACCAAGGGGCCAGCAGCTGCACATGCATATTCTCTCTGGGTTGCCCATATTCATGGGCACCAAAGCCAGGTCTGCCAGGATGTGTGTGGCTTTTTTCCCTACTCGTCAGCTACACCTAAGTTTTACATGCAAAGTGCGTGTTTCAAGGACATTATGTGGATTTGTGGCAGTGCCTGGAGGACTTTGCATCTGTAAAATGAAGAGTGAATTGCAAGGAAACCTACGCATAGCATTTTCACCAGTGACAATTATAATATTGTCACAATATTAAAGAAAACTGGTGATTTCCTGTAGATGAGCATGCTCCGTGTACCTACGAAAAAGTGTACCACTAGGCTAAAATTGGAATAAAGTGAAAAGCAACTAAAATGATGACATCTCTAAAGGTTCATGTTTCAGAACAAAGAGAGAAATGTGAAGTTCTATTTCCAGCTAAGCAGCTGTCTGCGACTCAGTATCAGGAAAGTTGCTGAGCTAGAAGTTGGTGGAGTAGGTCTTTGCTATGCCAGGGTGGTCTCTGAGGGGCCTCCAGTGAGCCCCGGTGTGGCCAGAGAAAGGCAGGGGCTGGGAGCGTGAATGGACTTCCCTGGAGCCTGAGATGGTTGGAGAGATGGCCCTCGGTCCTTGTGCATGCAAGAACTCATTCCCTGGAGGTCATTTCTTTAATGCCTAGGAGTGAAAGTAGATTCCACCAACCTTCACACCTACCCAACTACCTCTCTCCTAAAGCATCATCCAAATAAAGTATGTCCCCACGGTTCCATAGGCTTCCCACTAACTACTTCCCAACTTTTGTCTAGTCAGTCCAAGGCTTATAACTTGGGTTTGGGCACCTAAAAAGCCACAATTGGCAGGCTTCTGAGTCCCTGACTATCCTGGGGCACGGAATGAGGAAGTCATCTATACCTATGCATGGGGCTGTGCCCCTAGGCCTAGGGTCTTGTATCAGCAGCCTGCAGATCCAGAGACCAAAAATTAACACCTATTTCAGATTGCAAACCCTAAGGTGTGTGTCACCCTGCTACTTTCCCTATGTTGTTTTTCGAAAAAATCTAAACCTCAACAGAAGTCGTTACAAAGAATCTGCATATATACATCATGCAACATTCAATAACCATCAATATTTTTCCAAACTTCATCTATCCACTCCTCCTTTTTCATATTTTAAAGCAAATCCCGATTTCACCCCCAAAACACTTCAATACGTACCTCAAAAGAATACAAGCATTCCTTTTATATAGCCACAAGGTCATTATCATTAACAAAATACATACTTCCTTAATATTGTCAAATCCTATCTTCATTTGAAGTTCTCTGACAATCTATAAAATGTCTTCACAACTGTTCCATCCAAACAGGAATCTGACCAAGGGTCACTCTGCTGTTGGCTGTTTATGTCACTTAAGTAACATGTATCTGTCTCTCCTCTCTCTTGCTCGCTCTCACTCTGTCTTACACATATCAATAAAACAAAGTCAGCTATTCTACAGAACTCCCCACATTTCACTTTTGCTTGATTGCTACTTTGAGGTATTAGCTTAAACCTAGGATATCTCTAAGATATGAAGTTAGGCCAAAAGTCTTGACTGGATTCCAGTTTAATTTCTTTGTTTTTGATTTTGTTTTTATTTGGAAGAAAGCAATACTTCATAATAGTGCTATATACCACAGTACAGTGATGTCTGATTGTTTCATTTCCATGATGCTAATCTAGGGTCAATTTGTTTTCCAATGGAAATAAGGCATTTCCAGGCATCTCCAATCAATACCACAAAGTCTACTCAGAGAAGTCTACTTCTATTGCTGTTCCTCTCTCTGATTCCTCCCTTTACCTTAAAGATAACCAGTTTGAGGGGTTTCCTCTGGTTTCTTTTCACAGATAGAAGAAAATACAAATACACCTTTGTTGCACAAAAGGTGGCATACTCCATATTATATATGAAGGGTAGAGTCAAAAAACCTTATGGAAAATAGAATTAAGACATAAGCTCATTTTGGTGCAAAAAATGTTTGAAAATGGTAATTTTTTTCATAACATGCATTTTGTCATAAACTTTTTCTTTGTGTATACTACATATAAGTTTGCATTTTTGCTTTTTTCACCTACAGAGTACCTGGAATATCACTCAGTCAATGTCAATGTAGGGAGTTCTTTCTCATTACTTTTCCAACTGCACAGGATTCCATTTTGTGAATGCACCACACTTTGTTCAACTAGCCCTGTCTTGATGGACTGTCTAGTTATTGCCAATCATTTGTTATTACACAGAAACACTATAATGAGGAAGTCATTTTGTCATCTTGCAAGCACCTATTTGGGGGTTTACTACATGTGGGATTACTGCTGAATGGGTAAAACATATATAATTTGGCAGCTCTTCAATCAGATTACCAAGTCCCATATTAATTGCAGTGTTTTTCCCATCAGAAAGAAGCCAACAAAACATACAACTGTGAAAACTTAGGTCTCAGCAAAATTCCTGACACTCTACCAAACAAAACAGAAATTTTGGAATTTAGCTTTAATTTCTTGCCTACAATTCAAAATACAACCTTCAGCAGACTCATTAATCTTACCTTTTTGGATTTAACCAGGTATGTATCTGAGTTTCTTGTGTACTCATAAAGTTTTACTTAAGTAAAATGATAACTCTTGGTCACACTGTTTCTAGAACCTTCTATTGGGGATCAAAATAATAAAATAGTATTTCCCATGAAATACTATTTTTATCATTTTTAAAATTTTAATTTCTAATTAATTTTTGACAGATTCATGGACTACGTTTATGCAGGTGAATCGTATTTTAAATAAACAGCAATCAGTGGGAGGAAAGTGACTTACTCTCAAACCAGTTATATCAGCAGAGCTGTGTAAGAGGTTCCAGTGAATATTGACAACAAACTTACAGGAGGAACACACTTACTGAGTTTTTTTTTTCTACAAATTGAAAAAGGAGCTCCATTGTTTTGTTTTAGGTGCAGAATCAGGATTCCAAATACTGAACCAGGTTTGAGAACTGATGGGAAGAAGTATTATGAGAAAATAAGGAAGCAAACAAAGTGTGTGTGTGTGTGTGTGTGTGTGTACATGGATATGATGTCTACACATGTGGGTCCTTCCACTTAAATGCCCCACGTGGCAGAACCCTCACATCCCAAGTGCTGTGGCCACTCTGAGGTAGCCATGTTGCTTATAATGACCGACTTATGGTTACATGAGGAAACCATCTGTGCATGTATGTGTATATTTACATCTGTGTGTAAGCCAGTATTTTCAGTTGCAGCACCAAGATGAGTTTCTCTAAATCTCTACTGACCCGTAGTTCTAGGAGAGTTTTCACATGTGTCATTTGATTCACAACAGTCCTGCAAAGTATGCACTATTTCTATAATTCACAGATGAACAGAGGTTGACAAAAATGATAATTTGCCCAGAATGGTACAGATTTATATATTTATGTATTACATATCAAATATAAGGGACCTTAAAAAGTTGCTGGAAAATGGAATTTAAAATAAGTTTATTTTGCCGTAAAAAAAAAAGTTGAAATCCATGCATACAAGGGACATTCAAAAGGTTCATGGAAAAACATGTACCATGCAAAAACCAAGCAAAGATTTCAACTTTTTGCACCAAAATTAAACTTATTTTTTAATTCCATTTTCAAAGTATCATCATACTATATATTATAGAGTATATTATAATTACTTTATAATTATATATTAATAATTATAGGATATAGGTATATATTATATAATTATTTAATATTATTACATAATAATATTAATATCATATGATAAAATTATATATATATATAAATTTTGAGAGTCAGATAGAGAAAGAGAGAGACAGAGACGCCCTCATGTATTAGTTCACTCACCAAGGGCTGGGTCAGGCCAAAACTGAGAGCCAAGAATTCAAAACAGATTTCCCACGTGGTTGACAGAAGCCCAACCACTTGAGCCGTCACCTGCTTCTTCCCAGGATCTGCATTAGCAGGAAGCTGGAGTCAAGAGCTTGAGCTGGGGAGCCAGCGCTGTGGTGTCGCAGGCTAAGCCTCCTCCTGTGGCAGCGGTATCCCATATGGACTCTGGTTTAGTCTCAGCTGTGCTTCTTCCAATCCAGCTCTCTGCTTGTGGCCTGAGAAAGCAGTGGAAGATGGCCCAAGTCCTTGGGCCCTTGCACCCAAGTGGGAAACCTAGAGCAGGTGCCTGGCTCTTGGCTTCAGATTGGCCCAGCCCATTGCAGCTATATGGGGAGTGAGCCAGCAGATGGAAGACCTTTCTCTCTGTGTGTAACTCTGCCTCTTAAATAAATAAATAAATCTTTTTTTATTTTTTTTATTTTTGACAGGCAGAGTGGACAGTGAGAGAGAGAGACAGAGAGAAAGGTCTTCCTTTTACTGTTGGTTCACCCTCCAATGGCCACTGCGGCCGGTGCGCTGCAGCCGGCGCACCGCGCTGATCCGAAGGCAGGAGCCAGGTGCTTCTCCTGGTCTCCCACGCGGGTGCAGGGCCCATGCACCAGTCCCATCCCCCCCCTCACTTCCTGGCCACAGCAGAGAGCTGGACTGGAAGAGGGGCAACCGGGACAGAATCCGGCACCCTGACCGGGACTAGAACCCGGTGTGCTGGCGCCGCAGGTGGAGGATTAGCCTAGTGAGCCACAAAAAAAAAGAGCCTGAGCTGGGACGTGAACTCAGCTATTCCCATACAGAATGCAGAGGTCTTAACCAGTGTTCTAATCACCAGGCCCAACAGATAGCCCTGTTGTCTGTGATATTACTTGAAATAGTAAGTCCCAGTTTGATTTTGCCTCCATCAATGAAAACATTCATAGTTCCTCAGAATTCAGACATAAACCTCTGAGTGCTCCATCTAAAAGGACAAAATATCTGGAAAAAATTCTAAATCAGAGTGCTCAGAACTGAGATTACTCATGAATTAATTCAAGTGCCATCTCTGGGTACTAAAGAACGTTTCATGTTTACATTGGATAACAGTCATATGTCTTACTGTATACAAAATGCATGCCCCTTGACAAGGAATGTTTCCTTTGTTCTAATTAATAATTGTTAAATGCCATTGGTTTTCAAAGGTGCCAGATTAACTGGATACACGAAGACACTTTTCAAAGCCATCGCCAACTGAACACACTGGTGTTCACTGGAAATCCCCTAATATTCATTGCCGAAACAGCGTTTAATGGGCCCGTGGCACTGAAGCATCTATTCTTGATCCAAACGGGAATAACCAGTCTTGAGTTTATCCCAGGGCACAATCTGAGAGACCTGGAAAGCTTGTATCTTGGAAGCAACCATATTTCCTCCATTCAGCTCCCCAAAAGCTTCCCAACCCAAAGCCTGCAAGTTCTGGATTTCCAGAATAACGCTATACACTACCTCTCTAAAGAAGATGTGACGTGTCTGAAGCCGGCCACCAACCTGAGCCTCAATTTCAACGGCAATGACATTAAAGATATTGAGCCGGAGGCTTTCATCTCAACCGTCTTCCGAAGTGTGAACTTTGGAGGGATGGCTGACTTGTCTGTCATATTCAAGGGGCTGCAGAAGTCTGCCATTCAGTCCCTGTGGCTGGGGTCCTTTGAGGACACCAATGCGTCAGACCTGAGTCCAGCCGTGCTTCAGGGACTCTGCGAAATGTCTGTGGAGAGCATCAACCTGCAGAAGCACCGTTTCTCCGACCTCACGTCTGCCACGTTCAAGTGCTTCAAGCGAATCCGGGAATTGGATCTGACAGCAACTCACTTGACAAGCTTACCCTCTGGGATTGAGGGGATGGAGTCACTCAAGAAATTAGTTCTCAATGTAAATCATTTTGAACACTTGTGTCAAATCAATGCTGCCAATTTCCCCTCCCTTACACACCTCTACATCAAAGGCAACGTGAGGAGACTCCTGCTCCGTGATGGCTGTTTGGAAAAACTAGGGAAGCTCCAGCAGCTGGACTTGAGCCATAATGACCTGGAGGCTCCTGACTGCTGCAGCGTGGCACTCAGAGGTCTGTCACACTTGCAAAGCCTCAACTTGAGCTACAGTGAGCCCCTGTCTCTCCAGAGTCAGGCGTTCGACAACTGTCCCAGGCTCGAACTCCTGGATTTGGCATTCACCCGCTTGCCTATGAGAGCGCAACAAAGTCCTTTCCAAAACCTCCATCACCTGCAGGTTCTGAATCTCTCTCACTGCTTCCTAGATACCAGCAATCAGTACCTCCTCACTGGACTGCCCAGTCTCCGACATCTGAACCTACAGGGTAATCAATTCCACGATGGGACTTTGCCCAGGTCCAACCTACTTCAGATGGTGGACAGCTTGGAGGTTCTGGTTTTATCCTCTTGCGGTCTTCATTTCATTGACCAGCATGCATTCCAGAACCTTAGAAAAATGAGACACATGGACTTGAGCCACAACAATCTGATGTACGGCAGTATTGAAGCCCTTGGCCATCTAAAAGGGCTCTATCTCAACTTGGCCTCCAATAACATTCACACCGTCCCAAGCCATCTGATCCCCATCTTGTCCCAGCAAAGAATCATTAATTTAAGTCACAATCCCCTGGAGTGCAGTTGCTCAAATATCTATTTCTTAACATGGTATAAAGAAAACCTGCAAAAACTCGAAGGCTCCGAAGAGACCATTTGTGCAACCCCTGCGTCGCTCCGGGGAGTTAAACTGTCTGCTGTGAAGTTGTATTGTGGGATTACAGCCATGGGCATTTTCTTTCTGGCAGTGTTTTCATTGTTGCTCACCATTCTGCTCTTTTTTGCAGTTAAATTCCTCCTCAGGTGGAAATACCAGCACATTTAGTGATGGAGGTTTTCAGCGAAGGCCAACAAGTGTTTAGCAAAACGCCCTTGGTGGAAACAATTGTCATCTGTTGCCGAGCTGTCATTGGAGGGTTACTGGAGCTGGGCAGGTTCATGGTGGTTTTTCTGAAGCTTCTCGCCCTTGTGAATCATGGAGCTCATTAACCTCTTGGGTGGGGAGGCAACCCGGGGCTGGAGGGTCACACGCTGCTCTGAGAAACACAAAGCCATTCCAACGTGGAGGTGGGTGGACGAGGAAGGACCCATGGTCAGCAACGGCCAGGAGCAACCCACTCTGCCACCATCTCACTTCCAAGTGCTGACACTCCCTGCAGCACCCCAACCCTGTCCCTGAGAGGGGACCACCCAGCACTTGGCAGTGCTGAAGCCACCCCCTGCCCCCTCAGTCTCCCACAGCTCAGGCACTGTGCCTGCAACTGAGTTGCTGGTAATGTATCCGTTTGGGAGACTTAGTCTGGGACTAGTCTCAATGCTCATTTTAAAGGAAAAAGAAAACCACAATGAATTTAAAAGACTGAGAAATGAATCTTATTATCAAATAAACTCCATTCATGTTCTTAATCTGTATATTTCTAAGGTCTCTATGACACCTCTAAGGTGCAAATAGCTACTAAATATACACACACATAAATAAATACACCAGCCCTTCTTTACCCCAGTGTTTAGGATGTCAGCCACACCTGCCTCACTCCCTTCAGAACCAGGCTTCCTTTTGCAGGTCTGGGGTTCTCTTCTTTGCACCGCAGGTGGGCTGTGGTGCAAAGTGCACCTCTCTTCTGGGTGTCGGATCCTTGGAAGCATCTTTTTCAGAGAAGCCATGAGATAAGTGGTGGTGGGTTCCCAGGCTGACCCTCAAAAGCCTTTTCCCACGGGAGAGCATCTGTGACAGCACATTCATCGTGAACAGGAAAGGGTTGAAGGAGACGTCCCCTGCACGCCAGCTACCAGGAACACCATGAGACTGGTTTACAGAGAGGTGGCTTCCAATGAGGCTGGGCTGTCAGCCAAGGTTGTTCCGGTGACAGACAGCAGACAGGGCCAATGAATTCAGATGGGCAAACAGGACAACAGAAAACCCAAGTTACAACTTAGACCTTCCCAAGGCCCAGTGGGTCACACCCTGGAGTCTGAATAGCTGGTTACCCTTGCAGGGGACTCTTGTACTCAGTGCACTGGTAAGACCCTGAGTAAGTTCTATAAGCAATTTTAGGCTAGAGATGGTACACTCAAGTAATGAAACTCTGATTGGGTATAAAAGTAAAATGGACAGATTTTCAATATCTGATCAGAATTCATTAGCCCTTAGGCTGCCGGCTTCACAGTGGGGCACAATAACAGAACGGTCACTTGGGGTCCAATCCTCTATGCCTCCTCTGCATATCCAAGAAAAGCAAGGCAGGCAGTGAGTGGCGGTTGCAAGGGATCACCTTCCTGCTCAAGGATTTCGGGCCTTTGCCCTCACTCTTTCCTTAACCTGCAAGATGGTGTCACTGCTCTCTAAAGGCTGAGTCCCTCACACCGTTGAGAGTCACAGCTAATATTTCTCCCTGGCCTCAGCCACCCCATATCCTGTTCACTTTCTCAGCACCTTGGTTATCTTTATTATGCTTATTGGCATGTAGCATTTGCTTCCTGTTTTGTCTCTCTTCCTGTCTCAACTCCAGGAGAGGGTCTTTGTCTAACGGTATCTGAGATCAAGCCTGGGACCTCGGAAGGGCTCCATATATATTTAATAATTGATGACGGGGCCGGCACTGTGGCGCAGCGTGTTAAAGAGCCAGCCTGCAGTGCCAGCATCCCATGTGGGCGCCGGTTCTAGTCCCGGTTGCTCCTCTTCCAGTTCAGCTCTCTGCTGTGGCCCGGGAGGGCAGTGGAGGATGGCCCAAGTGCTTGAGCCCCTGCATCCATGTGGGAGACTAGAAGGAAACCCCTGGCTCTTGGCTTCTGATCAGCACAGCTCCGGCCATTGCAGCCATTTGGGGAGTGAGCCAACGGAGGGAAGACCTTTCTCCCTTTCTCTCTCTCTCTCTCTCACTGTCTGTAACTCTACCTGTCAAAAAAAAAAACTAAAGAAAAAAAAAATTGATGACATTTTTCCCAGCTCCTCCTTCAGCCCCCATGCCAGGCATACCTACCCTTAGCATCAGTGGGCATCTCTACTGTTCCCTGGGCCTCCTACAAGTTTCTCATCACGATCTCCCCTGTTCCTGTGCCTCACCCCCAGATACTGGGATCTGTTGGCCAGAAGTTGGCACTGGCAGCTCAGCTAAATGAATCTATGTTAAATCTTCCTATATTCTAAAGGTAAGCTTATCCACCTGTTTCTCCCATCTCAGAGTGTGGAAGGTCCTCACTCTAAGAATCTGGTCTTAGCAGCAAGCCACTGAGTTCCCTGCAAATTCCGTCAGATGTGTGCTCTTGGGGCAGGTGTTTAGCATACTGGTTGAGATGCCACTTAGGAAGCCAGCATCCGATATCAAAGTGCCCGGGGTTCAAACTCTGCTCTGCTTCTCATTCCAGTTTCCTGCTTCCTGCTAATGCACACCCTGGGAGGCAGCAGATGATGGCTCAGGTATTTGGGTTCCTGACACCCATGTAACATATCTGGATTGAGTTCTCAGCTTCTGGCTTTGGCCTAGCCCAACACTGGCTGTCGTGGGCACTGGGAGACTGAACTAGTGGATGGAAGATCTCTGTCTGTCTCTCCAACTCTCTCCCTCTCTGTGTCTACCTTTCAAGTAAAATGAAAATAAATAAATAAAAACGTTAAAAAGAGTTTCAACTTCTTGGCTTTGGGCTGACCCAGACATAGTTGTTACAAACATTTGGGGAATGAACTAGTAGGTAAAACAGGTCTCTCTCTCTCTCTCTCTCTCTCTCTTTCAAATAAAAATACATTTTTAATTTTTTTTTACTAATTGTAAGCTCTTTCTGCCTCAGGGATTTATACTGCAGATGAGAAACTCTAATTGCTGGTCTACCGCCCCATAGCTGCCCTATGTCCATAATACTAAAGACAAAGACGTACCTTAGAAAAACCAAAGCATTCAGCGAATCTCTGATGCAGAGTGCATCACACTGCAGATGACAAGGCCCTGAGCCTTAGCAAGACGTAATTGCCCGTCTCGCTTTCATTCATCAGCCATGCTCCTCTTGTGCGCACTGCAACTTACTGCTCCAAACTGCACCCTGATCTAAGGTCTTTTGACAGCACCTCTGTTTTAGGCAACAGTAAATTCACCCTGCAAAGTCAGAAAGGGAGCTTTTTGATGGCTGCTGTCAATTTTATTGCTTTATCCTGGTTACCAGGATAGAATCTGTAGACATGGTGTGTTTATTGGTTTTATGTATTGCATGTTGTTGTTGCTGTGACAAGCTAGTCCTGTAAAAACGTGTTGTTATTATTGCATGATGTAGCTCAGCGAGCTGACCCTGCATTTCAAGTGTACTGAAGCAAATAGCGTTGAAGTCCATAAAAGCCGACTGGCCTGCCTCACAGAGGACACCCTGCTGCATGAGCCGCAGATCTTACAACCCGGGAGACAATTCTACCTTTCTCTGCACCAGCGACCACTGCTGTTACGTGAACATGATACAGCTACCAGCACAGGCATTGTCTGTAAAGTTTCGAGACCGGAAAGTCTTAGACCAGTCCTACTTGTCCAACTGGCCAGAAAGTGTCATTTGAAAAGCTGAAGTCTATAAAAATAGAAAATGAATGGCTTTCTGAGTCTTTCTACATTAGTGTAGGTTGCAACGGGGAATGGGGATGACTGACATCGTTCTCTAGCTGCCCCGAATGCTGAAGAGAAACTGGACTTGAATTACCACAAGAGAGGATGTGGTCAGTCCTAAGCAGGTCATAACTGGGGAGTCCTGCATGTTGCAACAAAATTGGTTGCTTGAAAAATTGAGAGTTTGAATGTCTAGCTACAGAGGAAAGAATGAGTCAGAGTGGCCCCCAAATCTGGTTTAACACCAGAACACCCTGGGAAATTCTTTACAAAACAGAATCTTGCCCTTCATCCCTAGGTAATGATATTTGTTGAGCTGGGATAGGCTCTGGACTCTTAGAAAAATGATTGCATGTACAATCTTTCCCTAGACTGATTTTTATTAACCAGTAGCAGAAACATGTTGGGCCCCCTGAGTCAAATGAGCAGGAGAGCTGCTCCATGCCCTAGAAGAGGAAATTACCTAACAAAATAGGAAAAAGTCACGAAGGAGCCCTCCCGTCCAAGGGTGAAAGATCTTGGGCAGCAGCTCATTAGTTTTCTCTGCCATGACTGCCAGGCTTCAGAACTCTGCTCCAAAACAGCCTCTCTCTCCCACCTACCCACACACACACTCCTACCCCATTCTAACTATTTACAATTTGAAATAATTTATTGCATAATGCAGGCGTTGAAAAAGGAAATAATTAATCTACAGATCATGTTTAAAGGCTCTAATTGCTTTAAACGCTCTTACTGCTCATGAAGTTCATTGACTGTCCTGCTCCATCCTCCCCATCTTTAGTTAGTTTTCTCTGAGCACTTGAGTTCCAAGACCCTGCAAAGGCAAGCAGAGGGCAAGTGGCCCCCACAGCACTTGTCCTTTGCCTCTTCCTCATTTTGTGTTGGTTTATGGGCTTTCTAAATAGCTTGAGTCTCCCCTTTTTTCTTTCTCTCTTCTTAGAAACAACCTAAATATGTAACAGTAGATAAATGCTTAAATAAAGGGGGATATATTACATGCTCTTAGGTAGAACAACCATAAACATGTCAATTCTCTTAGCAGGAAATATCAGTTAAAATGAAAGAAACTTCTATATCTGTTAAAGAACACTGAATAACGGAGTGGATGGCACGTTGGGTGATAGAAACTGTGTGCCTTGTTTATAGAGGTATAGACTGCTGCAGCCCACACGGGACCATCTGGCAATAGTCAGATACTTGACTCACAAAGTCTGCCCTGGGGATATATCCCATGGAAGTTTCATATATACACAAAGATATTCATTGCAGCATTATTTGTAGAGGGGAAGTGTACAGTGGTTTGTGTATTTTTCAATAAGAGTGGGTGGAGAAGACATAACACAAAACATTATACAGTGATTAGAAGCAACAATTGTATACAGCCATAACCATGTTGTTGAATCTTAAATGTTGTTAAAAGAATAAGTTTAGATAAATTAATTTAGCAGAATTTGAATAAAGAATGATTCATGAATTGGGCAGCTCCCTGAACCAGTAGCAGTTTCAAGAGCCCCAGTAACATGGCAGGCAGTATGTAAAATATACAGGTATAGATGATATAGATATAATGTATTTGTTTACAGAGAAGACACACATCTGCTCTTTGTTTTGTTTTTTTAAGGTTCACTTTCATCTAATTGAAAAACAGAATCACAGAGAGAGGTAGAGACAGAGAGAGGTCTTGCATCCGCTGGTTCACTCCCCAAATGGCCACAACAGCCAGAGCTGAGCTGACCCAAAGTCAGGAGCCAGGAGCTTCCTCTGGGTCTCCCACGTGGGTGCAGGGGCCCAAGGACTTGGGCCATCTTCTACTGCTTTCCCAGGCCACAGCAGAGACCTGGGTCAGAAGAGGAGCAGCCAGAACTAGGACTGGTCCCATATGGGATGTTGGCACTGAAGGCCAGGGCTTTAACCTGCTGCGCCATAGCGCCGGCCCCTATCCATTTGCTCTTTCTTCCTCAAAACGTCCACAATATTCAGGGCTAGGCCAGGCTGAAGCTGGAAGTGGGGAATTCAGTGCAGGCCTCCCATGTGTGTGGCAGGGGCCAAGCCATTTGAGTGATGAGAGCTGCTCCCAAGACCTGCATTAGCAGAAACTGGAGTCAAGAGCAAGATCTTGGTATCAAACCCAGGCATTCTATTATGGGGTGTGGGCATCTTAACTGGCACCTCAAAGGCTAGGTGAAATGCCTTCCCTGGCAGGTGGTAATTATAGACAGAAAAGGGAAGTGGCATACAGACACAGCTTGAATGGTTACAACTAGACATTGCACTTATTTGGGCATGATGTGATGAAGCATTTGCCTTGTAGGGACACGGTCTGATCAGCTGGTAGCCTGTCGTTGTCTGAAACTTGCCTGCTGGAACTGGCTGAAACTCAGCTATCAGGTGCTCTTAGTTAGGATGCAACTGTTCACATGCAAGTTACGTGGCAGTTCATTTACAGACCTCGGCAGCTTGAGGCCAAATTTAATGTAACAACACTACAGCTCAATGGAGGGGAAAACAAAATGATGTATTGACATTATCATCTACATGATTTAGAAGGCATATATAAAAAACAATGACATACATCTTTTATGGTAACACAAGGCAAAAGATGAACCACTAACATATTTGCTTATGTTGGGAGAGGGTGGAGGAGCACATGGGATGGAAGGGTGGGTGATCCAGTGGGGTGATCCAGTGACTGAAGTGAATCTTAGCATAGGCCAAGGTTGATGTGCCAAGAACCAAAGAGCAAGATGACCTCCATTGTCTGCACATGAAGTTCTCTAACATACTTGAAAGAAATCAATATGACACATACAAATACTAAAATGCCTTTAAGTCATTATAAATAACATCAAAGAATTCTTTTATAAACACTGAAATACTTATATATCTGTGTTGTAATATTAAAGCAAAATAATGTTACTGAACAGCTTGTCCACTATTTAAATTTGTAGCAAAGGAAAATATATCTATCAACTAAAGGATGGCAGAGTGGCTGGTAGGATTGCAATTACTCAACTACTTTCTTCTTCTTTGTCTATATTTTTAATTAGCCTTCTGTGATCATGTTTGGGCAATGAGGAGAAAAATGAGTTCATTGTTCTCTTATTCAAATTTATCTTCTACTTTTAAATTTTCATTTTAAAATTTTAGATTAACATGTGATGCCTCCACATTTTTACAGGGTACAATGCAAATTTTCAATGCATATACTATAGCTTAAATACAGTGTACCAGGCAAAGAGCTTTTCCATTTCCTTATCTTTGTGTTTGGAATCTACCAGCTCCTCTTTTCCAGTTCATTATACGGAATGTAATACACTATTATGAGTCATAATCATACCCCTATGCACCAGAATTTAATACACTCACCCTGTTTTTTAGAATCCTTCTCTCCCCCAACCTTTCTCAGCTTCTGGTAATCACTACATTAAATTTGAAACATACATATAGATACAGATATAGATAATTGTTTTTATATATAATTGCTATTTTTAACTTTATATGGGAGAGAATATGAGGTCTTACTGTGTCTGGTTTACCTCACTTAACATAATTATGTCCAGTTCCATTCATTTTGCTGTAAATGTCAGGATTTCTTTTTTTTATGGCAGAGCATAAACTGTGTATACATGCCACAAACTCCATCTCTTCCAGAATACAATTCCATGGTATATACATGCCACCTTTTCTTTATCCAGTCATCCACTGATGGACACCCAGGATGATTCCATGTCTTGGCTGTTGTGAATAGTGCCCCCATGTTCATGTTCATTTTTTATCTTGTTTTCTGAGTTCTTTATAAATTCTGGATGTTAATTCTTTGTCAGATGAGTCCTTTGAGAATGTTTTCTCCTACTCTGCTGGTTGTCTTTTGACTTTCTCAACTTTTTTACTTTACTGTAGAGAGGCTTCTTAGCTTGATGCAATCTCAATTTATCTGGTTTTTCTTTTTTTGTCAATACTTTGGGAGTTTTATCCAAAAGTCATTGTTTGTACCAGTCTCTTGAAGAGTTTCCTCTGTGTTTTTTTTTTTTTTCCAAAAGTTCCATTGTTTCAAGTCTTAAATTTAGATCTCTGATCCATTTGGGGTTGATTTTTATATAGGGGAGAGGTAGTAATATTGTTTTAAATTTTTATCTGTAGCTAGATAGTTTTGCCAGCATGTGCTTCTTGTCCAAAGTATGTTCTTAGCTGTTTGTCAAGGAGAAGTTGGCTGTGGATGTATGGACTTATTTCTAAGGTTTCTACTCTGTTCTGAGGGTCTGTGTGTCTGTCTATGTTATGATAGTGTTATGTTATCTTTGCTCCCATTAGCTCCATAGATTGTCTTGAAATTTGCTATTTTGATGCCTACAGTTGTGTTCTTATTGTTCAAGATTGCTTTGGATATTCATGGTCTTTCGTGTCCCCATATTAATTTTAGCATTTTTTTCTAGTTCTGGGAAGAGTGTCATTGTTATTTTGATCGTGATTTCATTAAATTTTAATACATTTTTGGTGATATGGATATTTTAGCAAAATTAATTCTTTTAGTCTATGACCATGGGCAGTCTTTCCAAAATTTTATACCCTCTTCAATTTCTTTCAAAAGCATTTTTAAATTTTCATTATGATGTTATTTTATATGCTTGATGAAATTTAATCTATGATTTTTTTTATTTGGGAATGGAATTGTTCTTGTAATTTCTTGCTAAGTGAGTTCCGTAGTTATATACACCAATGCTACTGTTTTCTGAGTGTTGATTTTGTAGACTGCAATTCAAATGACTTAATTTATCAGTTCTAATAGTCTTTTGGTTTCTCTCTATATAGAATCGTGCCATCTGCAAACAGATGGTTTGACTTCTTCCTTTTGTATTTGTTTGACTTTTACTTTTTTCTCTTGTGTAATACTCTACCTTAATCTTTTAGTGCTACATTGAATAAGAGTGGTGAGAGTGGACATCCTTGTCTGGTTCCAGATCTTAGAAGAAATTCTCTCAACTTTTC